ATCTAGTATGATTAGAAATAAAAATTTCAATTTCCTAATGGAAGTATGTGTTAAATCTCTTGAAAAAAAAAACCATGAGTGCCCAAATCAAGCCAGACGACATTCGTATGAATTTCAATTCAAAACTTGGGAGAAAGGATGATAATGCATCTGTTAACAAAGGAATGTATAAAAAATTGGTAGAGAAGCTCACTTATCTTTCACACGTTAGACCTAACAACAACTTTGCTATTCAGTGTAGTAAGTCAATTCATGAATAGTCTAATAGAAAAACACATAAAACGTGTACACAAGATCCTAAGCCTAGTCAAAGAATGTTCTTCAAAAAGATTGCAAACAAAAAAGTTGAGATCTTTATTGATGCACATCATACATAATCTATAATTGAATAGACGATTTAACTCATAATATTAGACATATATCTGAGAAAATTTGATGACATGACGTGGTAAGAAGTAGTTAATGGTATCTCGAAGCATCACAGGAGCAAAATTTAGAGCATTCGCACATGGTATATGTGAAGGAATAAAGCTAAAAGGGATATTTGCTAAACTAATAATCTCAATTACATGATCTATTAAAATATTCTTTAATAATCAATCTACAACAAATATAACAACGAATTCAGTGCATCATGATATAATCAAACATGTAAAAATTGATAAAAATTTTATTAAGGAGAAGATATATACTAAAATGTTATTGCTCCGATACATCCCGACCAATCAACATATGATGGACATCTTAACTAAGGTTGTGCCCGAAAAGACCTTTGAGGAACTCAATTGTAAGGTAGGTCTACTCAACAACTACAACCTAGCTTAAGGGAGAGCATGAAAACCTGATATTTTGTAATCTAATTTTAAGGATTAGCTATTAAGATTTAATTTGATATCTTTCATAAAAATAAAAGAGTATGATCTCTTTCCTAGAATAAAAGGATATCAGTATTATGTTTTTTTTTTTCTAATTTTTTAACTTTTTATTTCTCGATTTATGGAAGAGATTCTTTTCTTCCTTGTTATTTGTATGAGTTCAATTCAACCAGAAAAATAATAAAAATTAATGAGAAATTCATTCTTAAACTTCTAAATAACTTTTTTTTCAATATATTTTCTTTCTTTACTAAGTCAATTTTCATGGTTGATTTTATTATTGTTATCTTTTATTATCTTTTGTTCATAATGAGAATGTTTCTGTTGTGCATCAAGTTTCTAATCTTAATCATGTTAATAATTTAGATTACCTAAATTTACAAGTCTATACTTGATAACATTAACCAATTGTAGATGTTCATAAATTCAATCATCTCATCATCTCCTAACCTTTTCACAACCTTTTTTTTTCATTAATTTCCATCAAAAAGGTAAAACACTCTTGTACTTCTCATTGGATCTCTATTTTTATCTTTTATGGTTTCTTATTTTTATCTTACCACGCATTTATCACCTTTTCACCATCTCTTTCCATTCAAAGTTTATGATAGAAGCCTTTTCTCATTATAGTATGAGACGAACAACAGAAGAACATATATTTGTGTTAAAGGTGAATGATACATGGGATTTGGTTACCCTTTCTCTTGGTAATCCTATTATTAGGTATCATAGGTCTTTCATTGATAAAGTTCATCTAAACAGACATGTTTATTATCTCAGGGTAGGATTTGTGTCCATAAGCTATAGTAAGTTAATGGTATAAATTATTCTAAAATTTTTTCTTCTTTTGCAAAAATCACTTCTTTTTAAGTGTTAATCTCTTTGATCTACCCACCATTAGCCTTTGCACAATTAAAACCAAAAGTACATTTTCACATGGTACTTTCAAAGAAACTATTAATATTGAGTAATCTATAAGATTTATTTCTCAAGAAGACTCCAATTTTTTTAATTGATTAAAGAAGTCTTTGTATAGGTTTAAATAATCTCATAAAGCTTAATATAGAAAGTTCAACAAAGTTGTGATAAAGTTTGGTCTACATTATAGTGAAGTTAACCATTCTCTTTATATCCTTATTTTACAATCATAAGGTTGGTACTCATTGTGTATGTGTATGATATTATTACCAGCCAGTGACTATAGTAAAGAGATTCAATTGTTGAAAATTTTTCTTCAAATCAATTTCAGTTTAAAATTGTGATAAAGTTTGATTCACACTGTACTGGAGTTAACTATTCTATTTTGTATCATCATTCTAGACAGTTGTTGCTCATTGCATACGCTTATGATATTATTACCACAAACGATGATAGGAAGGGAACTTAATTTGAAGTTTTTCCTCTAAAATCAATTCAAATTTAAAGATTTGGGGCTACTATAATACTTTTAGGTTATTTGGGTAGGTAGACCAAAATTAAAGGTTTGTTTTTAATAATGAAAGTATGGTTTTGATCTTTTAAACATGCCAAAAATGTTAGGA